GGCCAAGTGGCTAATGCTCCAGACTTTTGATACTACAGCTCTTAGATTCGAATCCTGTCGTTGGAATGGATGTTTGCGAGTGGTTCGGAATACATTTTTTAATTGCAAGTCCTGGTTTAACTAGCGCAAAGCGTGTAAAAATGAGCGTTGAGCGACAAGCCAAATGTACAGTTGTGCCCATGGTCTGGAATGCAAGCTCATGAAGAGAGAGTTTTGTCCATCAATTAGTGACACATTACACGTTATCTGTGACGTCTTTTTCCTGATATTCATACAAATCATCTCGCTAGTGAATCTGGTCTTCATTGTACAGATCACAAAAATAACCTTTTTCTACAATTCTACCTATAATATTTAATGCTTAAACATTACATCCTCCATATTTCCGAAAGAAACCATTTCAAGATATAAAAATTCGGAATACAGAGACATTATATTGTACTTATGAAAACGCCATATTAACGAATAAATAATCAGAGTGCTTACCGTATTTAATTATACAGAAAAAAAAAAGTTTTCATCGAAAGAATAATGTTTCAGTTGTTCTGTGGTGGGAGGGGGTTACACAGTGTGCATAGGTTACACAGGTGGTCACTTACAGCTGTGCAACGGCCTGATGGCCAAGTGGCTAATGCTCTAGCATTTTGATACTATAGGATTCAGATTCGAATCCTGGTGGGGGATGTTTGTTCGTGGCTCGGAATGCACCTTAAATTTTAAGTCCCGGTTTGACTAGCCCAAAGCGTGTAAAAAAAATGAGTGTTGAGCCACCAACCAAACTTAAGTTGTACCCGTGATTCGGAATGCAAGCTTCTGGTGGGAGGTTTTTGTCCATCAAATAAGTGTCACATTACACATTCCCCACGTTATCTGTGACGTCTTGTTCCTGATATTTGAATACAAATCTCGATATTGCATTTGGTATTGTTTGTACTGATCGCAAAAAGCCCCTTTTCTACAATTCCCGCTACTAACCAATGCTTAAATATTACATCGTTACTTAGTGTAGTGTTTTGTGATTGTTGTGTTGTTGAGTGAGAAATTGCTTAATAGTTAATTCCATTTTTTAATTATACAAGGGTTTAAAAATCTCACCCCTCCTCCCAAATCTTTTTTGCATGAAATAAATTGTTTATCATTTAATATGGCGTTAAATGATCCCTTCTTAATGTTTCTCCCAGGGGATTTAATGAATAGAAATTGTAGCTAAGTTTTTCGCAAGGTGTATTTATACAGTGTAGTTAATATCTATAAGGATTACAAGGACTTATTTTGCTGTGCTGCTCTCTTTTTGTCTACTCCTCCAATGAAACTCATGTATGGAGAGGATTTATATGCGCATCTGAATTTTACCAGGGCTTCAGTCTCTTTTATCAGGCAAAATAATTTATTTTTTATGAAGAGGTTTGTGATACGGAAGGATGTAGATCAATTCCTTCAGATAAAATAAAGAATTTATTTTTTAGTAGATGCAAGACCATCCTAGAAAACATATTGTATATTCGAGAAGATATATTTTATACAAGAATTTTATAATTAAAAATAATTATACCAGTTTATAAGATACATGACACCAGTCACAGGCTATGGTAGAGTAGGTTAGGCTGTAATCAAAAATCATTGAATTATTTTTAACACTCCAATAAATATTATCTTTAATTGGAGAAAATATATTTTAGGGATTAAAATAAGTACGAAAATATTTTTAAAACGATTTTCGTGTGGAGTTTCAGCAAATTAAATGACCTTTCGATTTTTTTTTTTTATATTTCGCATTAAAAATATTTATATTAAATCTAAAAGAACGTGCTTAATACACTCATGTCCATAAACTAAGGATAATGAAGTTCAGGCAAAGAAAGAGACAGAAGCAAAACAAATTTGACTTATTTGTAAAGTCTATTTATTAAACAAAAGGTAAAGAGCAAAAAAGATGCTATATGTTTGACATAATTAATAAAATTGCGATTTTTACCCTGAGCAAATTTCAAAAAAAGAACCTATTTACAAAAACAGTATAACATGGTTAGTATGATGGTCAATATGGAGTATGTCTCCGGACGATGCAATACAGGCCTTACAACGCCAAGGCATGCTGAGTATCAAATTATCAATCTGATCTAGGGGAATATTACACCACTCATCAAGCAATGCCCTCCGAAGTTCCGGTTGACAGGTGGGAGGGGGTTGACAGGATGCAATTCGTCAGCCAAGCATATCCCACACATGCTCTATTTGAATTCAAATCCGTTGAGTATGCTGGCCAATCCATACGGGTGATATCCTCCAATTGAAGGCATTCGTCTACAATGTTTGCACGGTGTGGACGGGCGTTGTCATCCATAAACAGAAATTTAAACACCCATGGCGCCCCGAAGGAAACGTACATGTTGTTCCAGAAGGACATCCCGATAGATGTGGCCTGTCATCGTTACACTCTGAACATGCAGGTCAGTTCTGGAACCAAAATAATTCCTCCAAACGAGCCATCCTGCACCACCGTAACGGTGTCGTTCAATGGTGTCCTCTTGGAGGTAATGGGTACCTGGCGCTCTCCATATGAAAGTCCGGCGAGAATCAGACTGGAAACTAAACCTGACTCGGCGGAAAACATCACACAAGACCACTGTTGTGGTCTCCACAATGCAAGCTCTTTTACTCCAGGTTAATCGCTGGCGACAGTGAGTTGCGGTAAGTGGAACACATCTGACAGCCCTACGAGCATGTAGACCAATGTGCCCTAAGCGTCTGTACACGGTCTGCCTTGAAACTGTCGTACCGGTAGCTGAAGAGAGCTGACGAGACAGGTCTGATGCTGTGCTCCGTCCGTTTCTTTTGGCAGTAACTGCTAAATACCGGTCCTCATTCGGCGTTGTAACTCGGGGGCGACCTGTGCTGTAACATCTACTCACATTGATATCATCTTGGAATCGTTGCCAAAGCCTGGAAATGACACTCTGGGCGATTACAAGTTCCTCGAATATTTCCAGCTGGGTACGTCCACATTCCAGTCGTCCGATAATTCCACCAAGTAAAAAATCATCCAAATGCTTCCTTTGTGCCATAACTATGCGGTTATTGCAGTGAAAGGCTTTTAAAGCGCTTGTGAACAATTTCACTTCTTTGCCACCATTCCTTATATACCCCTCTCTTACACTCTCGTCATGTGACGTACTATCCTGGTGGTTTCGTGTAATTTGCTTATTCTTCTTCAAGATGTGTGGGATAATTCTACAGGTGAATTTTTTTATTTTAGAGTTCAATTTGTGTGCGATTCTGAATTATCCTTAATTTATGGACAGGAGTGTATATTGTAGGTAATTTTGAGCCAATGAATATCATGCATTAAATGAAAAATAACAATATTACCTAAAATTCAAATGTTCAACTTATAAAAACACACCTTCCTAAGACAAAAATAAATTGCTATGCAAAATAATAATTCAATATGATCTTTTAAGGAATGTTACATTTATTTCGTTTTCTGGAACTCATAAAAATTCTTTTTTTATATCACCTCTCACATTTATTAATGCAGAAGCAATTGCACTTTTTTTATTTATGTAAGAGGATTTCTTACAGAGTTTTCTTATTAAGTTACTATTTAAATGTAATGATGCTATCGAAATAATCGTTTTTAGACACATGTTACATATATAAGAGCATTTAAAAGTATAAGAATACTGTTTTTATTCGCAGATTTATAATGCTTCTGTACAATCGCATCCCAATTTCAATTCAATTTTCCCGAATCAATCTTATTATCCATTCATACATCCGTGGAAAATTGAAATTGCTTTCAAGTAAAACGCTGATCCTCATAATAACAGTTCTATGGGAAATAGATCGTTATCCTGAATTTGCTATTTTCGCATGCATTTATTCATCACCCATCTGTTTCGTACCTAGCAGATAACAAGCATCCACATCATTTGCAGGGACTTAAGTTGAATGGAAAATTTTTCCTTTGTGTTAACATTCAAATAAGGTGGAGTTTTTTTTTTTATAAATTGAATATTTTGTTTCCATTACTTGAAAAGAAATACTTATTCAAAATTCAATTGGACGATTTTGAATGAACAAAGTGGTTGAATGTATAAATTCAATCAAAACGGGAGTATCTTTTTAAGAAAAATATAATAATACTGGTTTATTATTAATAAAGTTTAAAATTAAATTGTATATATAATACGTAAAGCCTTTATAAAATCTCACAAGCTATTTTACGTTTTAAACTTTTATCAACTGCTAAATACAAACTATCAGTATAATATAATAATATTTAAAAGTTGAATTTAAAATTATTTAAATTAGAAGTAATTTTTTAAGCTGTAAGAAAACGTCTGCTATTATTGACACTTATACAAATTTAAGTGCAACACATTTATATATGTAAAGTATATAAAAATTGTATAATACAAGGTAAAAACGTAATAAAATTCAAATGAAGGATCCAAAAGAACAGGTTTTACAAATTAAAAATGAAATAGAATTAATAAAATAACAGATGAATGCGAAGAAAGGTTTACAGAGATAAAAATTGAAAGAAACTTAAATATCACACAGTTGAATGAAAAATATACATTTATTCTGTGAGTATGTTTTACTTAAGTCCCTGGCACTACAGTCCATGTTGGACCATGGCCGTCCGCGTGTAGGCAGATTCGAAATAGGAGATGTTTCTTTCTTTTTACTGTTGTTGTTGTTGTTGTTGTTGTTTCTTATCCCACTTGGCTGGCAAGCCCACGAGCCCATACGTACTCATGACTGAAGGAAGGAAGCAGCTTCTGTTGGGATGGAGGACCCCGTAGGTAGAAGTCCGACTTTTGCTCCGTAACGCTCTTACAGTCATAAGAGACCGGGACCTACGGCTTAAAGTGGATTCCGAACCACTACAAACATCCATGGCACCGCCGGACTCGAACCCGAAACACCTGTGGCACCGAGCGCTGACACTCGGCCATTCAGGTCCCAAATTTGCCAACGGCACGCGGTAATGGCCACCCGAGTACTGACAGCGCCCAATGATGCTTGGCTTTGGTGATCTAACGAGAACCGGTATATTAAGCATGGTACGGCCGTTGGCGCTCTTTTTACAGTGTAGGATTGTAAGTCTTACACGCAACGTTCTACACTCATATTAGACATGGTATTACGGTTCAAAGTGGATTTCGAACCACTACCGCCGGGAACCCGATACCCTGGTACCAGGACGATAGCCACTTGGCCATCAGGCCTCCCATGAATAGTTTTAGAGCATATTAAAAAGATATTTGCCATATTTTGGTCTTTCAATACGACGCATCTAAAGGGCAATGGCACTTTTGTTGTTAAGTTCAATTTCGCATGAGGTGGTTAATCACAACAAATATTGTCTCTTATATATTATATCATACTAAATGATATTTGTTTTTTTGTATTGAGTTTAGTAAATCGTTCAATATTCACTTGAGGACGTCAACAATTTGATTTCGTTATTGAGACCTATGCCTAAATGCAAACAAATTAATATCTGAGTGCAAAATATTTGAAAAAATATAGGTTCGATATTTCTAATTTACGGCCTGGCGCATGTTTTACGTTTTAAAACATTTCATGATTAAGTTTTTTTCATCTGAATCGATATTTAAAGATAAAAGTAACATTGTAAAGAAAACAGACACTGACAAACATGACCTAATTGAGGATTCAAATCTTGAGTAAACTTTTTAATGAGCTTTTTCAAAAGAATTTGGATAAATGTCTATAGTTTTGATGAACCGGATTTTTGTTTTTATAATTGCAAAAAGTACTAAAACAAAAACAATAAAAATTATATTACCATCGCCCTAAAAGAAAGAACTTTTTACCACCATTTGGATGAAATATGTTTTCTCGCATTTCAAATTCTTCCAACCCAGAAAAAGAGTTTGTTGTAGCAATTAGGAGTTCAGATTTAGATTTCTTTTTTTTTTTTTTTCTATAACAAGAAAAGATGAAAGTTTTTAGAAGCGTCTGAAACCAGTCAAACTTTTTATTTCCTTGAAGTTTTCATTCACTTTAGTTTTCTGAAAGGTTTACGAAAGGATTAATCATTGTTGGTTTTATAATTTCAAAATAGTTTTATGTCAAAAGACATATTAAATGATACATGGTTTTCATTCTGCAAAATGTTATTTTCTTTTAACTTTAAAGCGAACTATTGCTTTCTTTCTAAGATATTAAATGATACCAAATTTCATTTTTATTTATTTAAAAAAATTTAAGTAATTTTTTTCAGACATTTTTATAAAATTGTAACAACAAACTATTTGAGACACAATAAACTAAGAAAGGTTAAGCTTTTATAAGGTAAAATAGCTTTCTAAAACGAAATTAAATTAAATTAAAACAGAAACTGAATTAAACTTATTAAAAAACTAATTTAATTTAATTAAATTTAATTAATTTTATTAATTTCATTTAATTTAATTCAGTTTCTTTCATGCACGCAAGAATTGGATTTGTGTCTGATGGTAGTATATTGTATGGGGAATTATTTCGGTAACGAAATCTATCAAAATCATTGATATTGGAAAACAAACATGGTAGTAAATAAAATTTTAAAAGGAAAAAAGAAAATATAGATGCTTTTATAATTATTCACATAAAACTTAACATAAATTGCAGTTATTTTTTAATTTAGAATTCTAATGTATTGCTCAATATAACGAAAAATAGAATAATTTCTATATTTTTAAGTTTAAAATTTTTTAACACATATTAGGATCGTATAAATAATCAATTTAAATTTGAACATTTATTTGACCGTTTTAAATGAGATTTAAATTTAAAACGTATTATCGATGTATTGAAATATACAGTTACGAGGCTCAGAGGAGTATTTGTAAGCAATAGAATACTTTTCATTTATTATTGTTAGATATTCTTTATACAATAAAGTAATCAAATCTCATAGCTTATAATAAGTTTAGATTTTGCAATTTTTTTTCCCAAACAATAAATATTTCCTCACAGCATATTTTCCTAAGATTAAATAAATTGTAAATCCACATTCTATGGCATGCAATAGTTTGTTCAAACAACTTTAAAAGTGAAACAAAAATAAAATAATGTAAAACAAATATTATTAAATGAAAAATAAAAAAAATTAAGATTAATATAAAAAAAAAAATTAAAAAAATAAAACAGGTTTATTAAAACAAAACAAAAAATAAAAATAAAACAAATATAAAATAAAGTTAAATATATATTATTAAAACAAAAAAATACGGAAATAAATATTTCTATAAGGTTCCATATCTTCTTATGGAGTTTAAAAATTCAATGTCTGATAATTTCAGCAAAATTCTTACATATAATATCTTTAATCTATTCTTCTTCTTCATTGGCCTCAGCAGCCCCATGGTGGGCAAAGGCCGTCTGCCTACTGGCAGATTTCGAGACAGGAGAAGTTTTTCTTTTTACCGGATAGTGTTGTCAGCCATAAGCTTTACAATCACATTACACCTGGACCTACTTTTTAAAGTGAATTCTGAACCACTATAGACATCGTTGGCATCTCTGGTACTCGATCACGAAACCTGTGGCACCGAGCGCCAGTCACTTTGCGCATCTTTAGATCATACACATAGTCGTCATACGCATCTTTAAGATCCACCGATGCTTTTAATTACGATTTTTTAAATAAAACTACTCTAACTGAATCTGTACATATATTTTTAAATTACTTTATCAATGCATAAAAATATTTTTATAACATATCAGTATTGATATTTTTATTCTACATAATATTTTTGTACATATTCAAGACATACAATGTTATTAATACATACAATGTTAATGCATATACTATACAAATGATTATTCTTACATAATTTATATCAACAATGCTGCAACATGTTATGACAAATATTATGAAAATAAAACTCGTTATATTCGCTAAAAATATGGCCATAATCGTCATACTCTGAATTCTTCAAGTCTTTTCATATGGAACGACCAGTGACATATAACGATAGCTTATTCTTTTGTGCACTTATCTGTTTTCTGTATATGTTTTTCTAGCTGGCTAGATATGGATGGAATAAAACAGAATAAAAATATAATTTTTTTTTTTTTCAGCTTAATAAATTCTTTTCTGAAGAGATTGAAAAAGGAAATCATTCACGGAAATTCATGGAGAAATGGTATAAAGAATATACGAAGAATGGCATATAAGAATAAACGATAGTTTTTCTGTATTTTTGAAGGTCAATGTTGTTATTTTTTTCAGATTCTTTTAACTAAACTGTTATTTATTTTAAACAATTTCTTTTATCATGTTCCAGTATCAATTTATTTTTCAACCTATCATCATTTATACCCTTGTGAAAAATTCAATAAATTTAAATAATAAATTAAATTTCAATTATCTACTTTCAGCAGGACAAACCTAGTGATATAAATATTTTAAGCAGAGGTTGCAGAAAATATTCTTCAAAAAATACAAAAATTCAAAATAAAATAATTTTAATAATTTCTTTTAGTTAAATTTACTTAGGTGTGTTTAAAAACAAGGCATAAAACATTTTAATTTTGTTTAAAACTATAATTAAAATGCCTTTATTTTAAAAAAAGTCATTAACTACTTTTAAGTTTAGGAATTCTTTAAAAAAATAAGTCGGAACGAAAAAAATAAAGGGTTGGTTTAATTTCTAATAAATAAGTTATACTTTTAAGTAATTGATGTTGTTATTTATGTTGTAATTACTACTAGTTAGACTTCTAAGTAAAATTCAAAGTTACTCTTATATAGAACTAATTAGAATATATTTTTATTTTTATTTTATTGCACCTTCTTCAGGAAAACACTTTTCTACATTATTTTTGGATTTTATTCTCAGTTTATTCTTCCTCTTCATAAAAAAAACTATTTTCATGTAGAAGTTTATTACAGCCATTGTCTTTTTAATTTATGATTCAAACTAATTTTCATTCAAAAGTAGCTTTCCAAAATAATAAAAGATCATTCTTAAACATAAAAATGAGAATGAATGACTTATACTAAAGAAATCTTCATTTTTGAGGTGTTCAAATATATATTTTTAAATGCAGATATTTACTCATACTATCTTAATACCAGTAAAAAATAAATTTATCTAATCTTCAAAAAGACTTTAAAAATGTATTTCCTTTTCTTTAAAATAGTATCTTTAGCAGCCACGGAATATTTAATTACATCAATCGATAAGACGTCAAAATGCTCTTCACCAGGAGTTTTTAGATATGTTTATCGTGAGGAGTTTTGTTTAAGTTAACTATTAAGTAAAAAGAGCACAGAAAAAAAAAGGTTCATCATACCTCTCAAGGAAAGATAAGCTTCACCGAGATATTCCAACAAAAAAAAAGAAGCTATCTCCCCTCAGGAAGCGCCACAATAAGATAACTTCATTAGGAACCTTTTTGTGTTTCGCATTATCTTCATCCGTGAAGCGTTTTATCAACAGAGATTGTCATTATCGAGAGAATAGATAGAAAAGTAAATAGCTCTTTGAGTGGAAAAAAGATGCCGTAAAAATTTTGACAACGTGATGCAGAATTATAAGATCTCTCTGTCATTATAAATAGCTTAGTCCCAACAATAAAAGAAAAAGTTTGTATTCTTAAATCGAAAACCATTAAAACACCGATGTGCAAAACTTAAGCAACGACTTTTTTAACCATATTTTGGAAGGAAATCATCTGGAGATATAAAATTCAGAATACAGAGACACTAAAATGTACTTATAAAAAACAGCACATCAATGCGTAACAAATAGAATGCTTACGGTATGAACTATACAAAAAAAATTAAAAATTGGTAGTATCTGGCCAAGACTTATCCTAGAACAAACAAATGTCTACTTTCGGAGATAAGAATTATTTTAACTGCGACTGTTGGTTGGTACCTTCTCTCTTTTTTTTTATGGGTCGGCACATTTTTCCCATAGTTTCTTAGGGAGCTGTGCCCATTTCTCAATGAGCACATGTTGTTGTTCGTTGGGTGAGGTTATAAATCTGACCATTATCATATTTCTTCCAGTTTAGTACAACGGTCTGATGGCCAGCGCTCTGGCATTTAGC